ATTTGATGTCAGTAATGTGCATGGGAATAAGTTGAATGGAACAATTCCACCAGCTTTCGAGAGGCTAGAGAGTATGACTTATCTGTAAGCATCATTCTTGTATGTTAATGATTTATTTGGTAGCATCAATCTACAAAATGGAGCCTGTTTGGTTCAAATGTTCACCATCTTACGTATTTTATCCTTTTAATTTCTATAATAATATTTTCTATGATATGGCTCATCATGCTAATCATGTCTTCCTACCTCAGGAATCTCTCCTCTAACAATATCAAGGGGTCTATACCAATTGAGCTCTCTCGAATTGGTAATTTAGATAACCTGTAAGTATTAAGTGCCCAAAGGTGTTATTCTTTTCTTGTTTTATTGGTTCTTAGTTGTTGGTTTTCTCCAGGGACCTTTCTAACAATGAAATTAATGGCTCTATTCCTTCATCACTTGGTGATTTGGAACACCTTCTGAAGTTGTGAGTATTTCTAGAAAACAGGATTTTGTTTTAAGTCCTTCGCAATGATTTCAGCCTTATTGTTGTTTCTATTTTTCTGTAGGAATTTGAGCAGAAATCATTTGACCGGAGTCATTCCCGCAGAATTTGCTAATCTTAGAAGTGTTATGGAGATGTAAGCTTAAAATTTTACTTTCATTACTAGACTGATCTTTTTCATTGCTGACTTCTCGTCTTATGGTTGTACTCTGCAGAGATCTTTCTTATGGTAATCTATCGGGCGTGATTCCTCAGGAACTCATGCAGCTTCAGAACATGTTCTTATTGTAAGTTGATCTGTTGACTCCATTTCTGAACATTTAGGTGCTGCAAAGAACATGCATGTGTATATCATTATATGCATACATGTATATATTTATATGAAACATCAATAGGTGCTGCAAAGAACAATGCAACTGTATTCTTATATTTTGTTGGTTTTAAATTGCCAGGAGACTGGAGAACAATAGTTTGTCGGGAGATGTGATTTCATTAAGCAACTGCATGAGTCTTACGGTCCTGTAAGTTGATGATTCACTAGATTTTGTGATTTATTTTTAATACAGCTTTAGCTTCACAATAGACAGTAACCCTGGCATCATATGACCCTATAAATCTTCTGAAACCTTGCAGAAATGTCTCCTACAACAACCTTGTTGGTGATTTTCCCACGAGCAATAATTTTTCAAGATTCTCACCTGACAGGTGTGATATTTCCAATTTGAGTTTTGGAACATCTATATTACTGAGCAGAAAAGCTCGGTTTAGATGTTGTCTTTTCCCCAATATAAGCTAAGTTAGAACTGAAAACTGTTTACAGTTTTATCGGAAATCCCGGGCTTTGCGGCTATTGGGTCTCTTCTCCATGCAATGAGTCTCGTCCCATAGAGAGAGGTAAACCTTTTTCATCTATTTTGAAATGTGCCTATATTTTTAACATCAAGTTCTTTGGTTCTCTTTGGTTGATTATTCATTTTGCTGCTCACTCTCATTGGTGCAGTTGTGATCTCCAAAGCAGCTATTCTAGGCATTGCACTTGGTGCCCTTGTGGTTCTTCTGATGATCTTGTTTGCCGCGTGTCGTCCCCAATATCCTCCGCCTTTGCCAGATGGATCGTTGGATAAGCCAGTGCCTTCTCTTTATATGCATAAACCAATGCAAGCATTTGCCTCGAAGTATATAACGTCAGTTTACAAAGGATTATTATACGAGTTTCAAGGTCTTGTTTTTGGTTATTGAATTGAAAATGCAAAATATATCACATAATAATTGAAGTTGGTAGGTTGAAACTAGGTTAGAACAATTTGGAGCAGATTGTCTAAGAAAATTAATTGTGAATGTTATCATCTTGTTTTTCTAAATATGCCTTGTTGAAATTTCTGACCATGTTATGGACTTGTGAACTTGTTAAAAGCAGTTACTTACTCGAGGCCGAAACTAGTGATCCTTCACATGAATATGGCACTTCATGTTTATGAGGACATCATGAGGATGACCGAGAATTTGAGTGAGAAATATATAATCGGCAATGGTGCATCAAGCACAGTATACAAATGTGTACTCAAGAATTGCAAGCCCATTGCCATCAAGAGACTCTACTCTCACTATCCGCAGTGCTTAAAAGAATTTGAGACAGAACTCGAGACGGTAGGGAGTATTAAGCACAGAAATCTGGTCTGTCTTCAAGGATATTCACTCTCTCCTTACGGAACCTTCTTTTCTATGATTACATGGAAAATGGCAGTCTTTGGGATCTCCTCCATGGTAAGTTTGTGGTATCTTGCTAATATTCTGGTGTTAGAATTCGCCAGTAACGTATTATTTCTTATATTCAATGGTAAAGTAGCACCTTATTAGAACCTTATGAATGACCAATTTAAGATATCCTTTTACTGCAGTTTCTACAAAGAAGAAAAAGCTCGATTGGGTCATGCGTTTAAAGATAGCACTTGGAGCAGCGCAAGGGTTAGCGTATCTACATCATGATTGTAGTCCCCGGATCATCCACAGGGACGTTAAGTCATCTAACATTCTGTTGGACAAGGATTTCGAGGCTCATATTACTGATTTTGGCATTGCGAAGAGCTTATGCACATCGAAGTCTCACACTTCAACGTACATAATGGGCACCATTGGTTATATAGACCCCGAATATGCTCGTACTTCTCGCCTGACTGAGAAATCCGATGTCTATAGCTACGGGATCGTGCTACTTGAATTACTAACTGGAAGGAAACCTGTAGACAATGAATCCAATCTCCATCATCTGGTTAGTTTTATATCCATAATTCATCATTTTGATAGGATATACTCTTTTTTGGGTTGATTACATTATGATAGGACACTCAATTTGCGTATCAGATTTTGTCCAAGGCTGCTGACAATGTCGTCATGGAAACCGTCGATCCGGAGATCACCGAGACATGCAAGGATCTTGGAGCAGTCAAGAAAGCTTTTCAGCTAGCTCTTCTATGCAGCAAGAAACACCCGTCTGATCGACCGACGATGCACGAAGTGACACGGGTCTTAGGAAGCATGTTGCCACCAGACACCCTACCAACAAAACAGCCAGCCTCGATCCAACCGACACCTCTTCCGTCATCCAAGGTCACTAGCTACAAAGACGAGTATGTAAACCTCAAGACTCCACACTTGGTCAATTGCCCATCAATGAGTACATCAGATGCCCAACTGTTTCTGAAGTTTGGAGAGGTCATATCCCGTGAAGCCATCAATGTGGCATCAAAATATTCCATGAATGAACAGCAATAGACATGAGAGTAAGATCATGGGGAAATGTGTATAAAGACACTATGGTATCTCAATTATTGTAGGTTAGAGTAAAAAGGAAAAGGATGGGATTTGAAAGTTGGTAGCAGGGGTTGTACCACAAATTAATATGATGGTTGTATAGATTGTACTGAATGAAATTATGGTGGTAATTTTGTCCTTGTCTCCAATGGGGTCTCTCTGACACGGGCAACTTAGCATTTTCTCGGTGGGGTCTGAGTTTCAGGCCGAGTCGGGTCTGGTTGCAGTTGCAGGTCTCATTATATGCATGACCAGCAATAATGCACTGAGGAGCATTAGCTGGGATCTGCCTCTTCTGAACATTACCACTTATCTGTTGAACATCTTTTTGAATGCTGAAAGATCACCATTGATTTGCCAACTCTTCACCATCTTAAAATTTTATTCTTCTCGAGGGCTATGCTTTCATTCAACAACCGGACACGATCTTTTTTAGACCGGAAAATCAGAAAACCGTGACAGTTTTTGGTTCTAGAATTCCACTAATTCCGAAATTAAACAAAGCCGAATAGAACATATTAAATTTAAAAGATACTGTAAGAACGTATCAGTAAAAATAGAAAAAATTATGGAAGTTTGATCAGTTTTGTGCTAAACACTACATGTATATACAGAGAGAGTAACCTTCATGGGTGAAAACAGTTTATATAAAATTTTAGGGGTAAATATGAACCACTATGAAACTTTTGTGTATATTTATAAAAGGATTAATGTAAAAATAAGTTTTTAAATTATACTCAAAGTTAACTCTAAGTGTCATAAGAATTTTTTGTTAAAAATAATTATCTAATTTTTTTTTCCTGTTATAGTTTGTTTGGTAGACATTATATTTTTAGATGTCTGGACTGTAACATTTATTAAAAAATATTATTGTTTCACACGTGTTGGACATAAAATCTTATTAAAAAAACACTCAAAATCAAAATTTAATTTTAAGAAAACCTAATATTTTATGAAATTATTAAAAAAATTCTCAAAATTCAAAAAACCTTAATTTCAATTGCTTACCATCGCCAACCGCCACGAACGCTGTCAATCGGCCCAAAACCCGACGACATGCGACTGCTTGAACTCTCATACTTTACGTAGTGATTGCAGCGAAAAAATGGGCATACATGGTGTGAAGAACCCTTTCAGTTGATCCAAAATCTTGTATCTTCATGGCCGTTAGATGTTCGGTCGAACGTTAACATAAAGGGTTTCACCCATTGAGAGGTTGTCCGGTCAAATAATATTAGGTGTTTGACCGATTGACGACGTTGGTGACGACCATGTGCTAAGGGATTAAATTAAGGTTTTAAGAGATTTCAGAGTTCTTTTTGGTAATTTTATACAATTTTGAATTTTTTTATATAAATAAATTATAATTTTAAGTTTTTTAATTCAGATAAAAATTAATAAATCAAAATTTTATAAACTTAACAGTCATATTTAACGATTATTACAGTCCAAACACCTAAAAGTGTAACGTTAGAAACATTAGATACCTATTTTTAACAAAAAATTCTTTAAGCACCTAAAATTAACTTTCAGATATAATTCAGACACTTATTTTTGTGTTAAGCGTTTATAAAATGCTATTTTACTTAAAATATGAACCAGATTCGAACCCAAGGAGAGAACATGAACGATAAAACAAACATAAAATATACGAAAAAGTATACTCTATTATGATGTAAATACTGAACCAATGTTAGTTGTTCACACTAGGAAAATTTTAGCACATAAAAATACCTGGAAATTTTAAGTAATCTTTACGTCGCATAGAAGACTGGCAGCCATCGAGCCGTATCTTCTTGCCTCCCATTCACTAAGCTTCTCGTCGGGGAGTCTTGTCAATGGAAGATCGTCTACCAAAGAACTACTTCCACGATTCTTCTCCTTGTCTTGATCGGTTTTGCTTGGTTCAACCTCGTTAACTTGGGGCTCAATATCCTGAGCCGTTTTCTCCAGCTTCTCTGAGCGAATGGCAGGCTCTGCCTTCTCTGCAGTAACAGCAGAGGACTTTTGCCCCATAATGAAGAGTTGAATACTCGGATGTTGGTACTTACTGTCCATCTGCATAGAATGAGTAAGAAAACTAATCAACTTCAATGAGTGACGAAGGGTTGAATACTCGGATGTTGGTACTTACTGTCCATCTGCATAGAATGAGTAAAAAAAACTAACCAACTTCAATGAGTGGCAGTTTCACAACAATGAAGATTAGAAGAATATCTTATCCGAGGCTCAAACCCGTGGATAGGTTCAAGAATAGAAGAGTTCGAGATAAGTTCAATTTGAAAAATAAAGGACCGCCCTTGAATTGGTCATCGTCATCTCAATACACAAATTTGTTAACCAGAAATGACTGTGGCGGTTGTTCATAGCGGCAGCCTCTGGTCCGGGTTCATATCAATCACAACATATAATAAATCTTGTGTGCATTCCATTTCAATTTTAAGAAAGAGTCTAAATTGTGTACCTTGGCTTTTGGGACAATCTTCACGTCAAAGAAAATTTTCCAGGTTTGAAGCATTTGCTCATGGACGCTAGTAGAACGGATCTCATGACCCAACTAAACAGAACATTTAAAAGCAAAAATGAGTTCGATCACCGAATAAGACAGTTCCAAATGAAATTTTGGAAAATGTATAGCAATACCATAATTGTGGTTTTTGGGCTTGATAATGCGATAATTGTTTGTAATAGAGGTTCCACGAGATGCTCCGCATAAACCTTAAAAGGCAAAGCATCAGTCCTATATATGCAACTATTCTACACGCAGTTTAATGTTACTACAAGAAAACTACCAGAATGGCATAAAAATAAACTTTTTGGAAGAATCTATGCATCTGGAAAACTTACGACGTCTGTACCAATAACGTAGTCAAATGGTGGAGCAACAGCTTTTATATGATCTTCATTTCCCCAATCCAACTCCGCAACTTTAATTGATCCAAATGAATCTAAAACAAACAATACTACCCACATGAGATAAAAAGTACAATTCTGTCTTTAATTCCTCCAATAGCATTGCTAGGTAATTGTCAAATAATTTCTCTACCACTTAAGCCAAATTGTTCGGCCAAGATTCATTAGGGCACTTTGGTGGGCAAAAGGAGAAAAATGAAAATTAAATGAATCATGTAAACTAAATCAGAAGAGAGAAAAAAACCCGCACCTGAATTAGAATTCATCTGCATGATCCTTGAGCTATTGCGTTCTACATTTCTCCTCAACAATGGCACGACCTCGATTTGGTCTGTGGAAACTACATCACATCCTAGACATGCCATTCCTGGAAACCACAGTTGAGTCAGATTAAGCAATATCAGAGCAAATAATGCAGTCGTAAAAGACTTCCCTCGTAACCCGACCACGAGTACTAATTGTACAGAATTATACTCACCAAACCCCGCTACTCCACAACCTGCTCCAAGTTCAATAACACGCTTTCCTTTTAGTTTGGATGGGCAAAACCTTCCCTTTCTGCAATTCTTTTCCTAAACAATGAAAGAATTCAGCATCATACAGAAAAATAGTTAAAGAAAAGCCCGAGACATTTAATTTTAATAAAATGAAAGGAAAACCTTGCTCCCAGTTGAGGACAAGTACGTTGTAAGAATAGAGAATATGAACTGTGGTTTAGACCGTGTTCTATTGATTTCGGCCTTACACAAACTAGCTTAAAATTTTTTAGGGAATGTAAGGTTGGCAAAATAAACATGGAACATTTTCAATCTCATACCGAGGAGGTTTTGGGATCTGCAATGTATATATGTAAGAACTTGAAATTATACTTGTGAGGTGCCTTTTGTGGTATGAAACCTTGAGCATATCAGGTAAAAATGAACAATCCTTATACCCGGGATACAAGTTTCTTCTATCGGTATGAGAGCTATCGCCAACATGAAAAATGTAAAAGCTAAGAGCTATACCGTTGGAAATTTGGGGTAAAATGAATACAGAAAATTTGGGTATCAACATCAACTTAAACTCGACTCGAACAAAGTCCTCAGCACCAACAATTCAAATATTACTAACATAGTTAAAGTGCAACCAAAGGGATTGAAACAAATACCAGAAATTTGGCAAACACCATTGATGTGTCCCAAACTGTAGTTCCCAAATGTTTGGAATTAGGATCCTGCCACAATGTAGGAAAGTTTCAGGAGACAATATAGGATAACTACAATTAAAAAACACTGCACTATTAAGTGATTCTATCATAGCTGAATCGCAGAATCAACAAGCAAGATGATGCATGACTGAAACACATAATCTCAGACAACAATTTGCTAATCAGCCTAGAAAGATAGTTAATTTGACTGAAAAGGAAACCTCCCAAGAGAAAAGATTAAAAAAATCACCTGATAGAAGTGCAGTTGATGACCCAATACTTCAAAAGTAATTACGGATGTACTTGGAGAATTCAACCTAACACAAAATATTTGTAAAATATAATTAAAGAACTCGATATTTATTTCATTATAACAATCGCAGTAAACTAAAGATGAATAGTATGGGTACCTATCAGCCTCCATTTTATCAACGTTTTCGCCCCAAAGAGAAGCAAAATCCCAAAACGCGATCTTTAACTTCAGACGATCTCAAGCTCCCAAATGCTTAATATGAGCTCTTGAATTGACGATCACTGCTGGAATCTAAGTTCCTTTGTTTCTGGGTGCGTGAGATGTTGAGCTTCAGACTGTTGTGCAGGGAAAATCGCAATGCTTTCTTCCATTTACTCCTTGGTTATGAAAGGGACAGGCTTTGTTTAGACTAAATCAGACCACTGATTGAACTGAGAAACGATTTGGGTTTCTCAGACCGAATCTCTTCTGGATTATGGGCCATGGAATTTGTGATCTAAAAGTGTCACGTCCAAGGACTAACCCATAGTATATATAATTAATCAATAAAATAGATAATCAATCGATTTTTTTTGAATTTGGGGATAAAAAAATTAAACGTGAATCCAAACTTGACTACATGTCTAAATTAAATCGAGTACGATAAGTATATAATTTATGTAGTTAATCTTCTGCCAAAATATAATTTTGAGGGAAAATGGAGGCCTCATCTATAAAAATAAATGTCACTTGTTAATGGGGTAAGGGAAGTAAGAGAGTAGTCATCTCTAATGGCATCATCTATGGAGTGGATAATTTGCTTTATCGATCAATTCTCAAAATCAGCATTACTAACAGCAACCTATAGGACAAGTAACGCACCATGATCACTATTAAGTTCATTAGGGAAAGCAGGACATGTTTTATTTATATAGTGCATCAAGGTAGGAGATTGTACCTCTGTATCACTGCAATAGTGCATGACGAAAACGGCAAGCTGCATACCATGAAAACATCTTTTTTCTATATATAAGTGTATAACATAAGGGAATCTCTGTCGATGTGAAAAGAACATCAATTGTTATAAAATATAGAAAGTGAATTCTATTTGTTTGCTTTGCGATTATGTGATGGAATAGTTTTACTTTATTTGCTTATGTTTTTATGCATTATGTTAAAATTGGTCCCAACGTTTATAATAGCAATCATTTTGGTTCTTATTCTTTCTTTTGGAGCATTTTGACTTAAACGTTTTATTTTATAGCAAAAAGATCTTTAACGTTTGACCAAATAGTCACTTTAATTATTATTCTTTTTTTAGAGTTAAAAAGAATGTCCCTATTTTGAAGCATTAACCATTTGTTAGGTAGCGATTTCCATCCATAGAGGGTTTTTTGGCCCAAAATGAACTATTGGAAGTCAAAATGCTTCCAAAAAAAAGGAACTAAAGTGACCATTTAATAAAACATTAAGGTGTCTTTTTATATTATGCAATGTTTTTACCTCCACCATAACTATATCAAGAGCTGAATCCCCCTCCATCTCTTAGGTTCCCATCAACACTCTAGCAGAGCTTACCTGCTATGATAGATGAATCATCACACCTCTGTTGCACAAAAACAGTAAGCATTTGGAAAGCTAAGAACAATAATCATATTGTTGAACTATTCAGTAATGACGACGATAGAAGAACATTAGACGGTAACGACGTTAATGATTCAAGCATTATTTAAATACAAAAAATGAATCCTATTGATAGAATATTAAGAAATGGAGATAAAATGATGAAGAAGATGAACAATGCTGATATGGACTTTAACGTGAGTAATTTACAGGAATTGCAGTAATAAATTTTATCTGAAAATTCAATGATTAGTTTGCAAGTTTTAAAAATTTTAGAGACCAAAATGAAAACATCTTAGAAGTTTGATGGCTATTTGTATAATTTACCTACTTAAAATATTTTTTTTAAGTTTCCAGGATTTGACTTTAAAAAGATATATTTTTTTATTCTAGTTATGTCTTAGTCTTTGGTGAAAGTACACGGTAGGTCCCTTCATCGTAGATGATTGTTTTAAGAGTTAATTGCATCAAATGTCCTCAAAATATTACCCTTATTTTAAATTGATCCTTAAACTTGTAAATATTTTAATTTCATCTCTAAACTATGATTATCATTCTAAACTAGTATTTAAAATTTTGAACATTTCAATTTTATTCTCAAACTATGACCTTCATTCTAAATTGGTCTCCAAACTTTTTGAACATTCCAGTTTTGTCCCAAACTATATGTTATACCAATTATATCATTTGTTAATAAAATCGATAGACCAAGTTATATTATTATATATGTTTGAAAAAAATAAAATTTATTTTAAATTGTGGTTGAAACTAATTATATTTTTGGATGAATTTGGGGATGAAATTGGAAGATTCAAAAGTGTGGGGACCAATTTAGAAAGAGAGTCATAGTTTAGGGATGAAATTAAATTGTTTAAAAGTTTAGGGACTAATTTAGAATGAGAGTCATAGTTTGAGGATGAAACTGGAATATTCAAAAGTTTAAGGACCAATTTAAAATGACGGTTATAGTTGAGGACATATGATGAAATTAACCCTTGTTTTAAGTTAATCTTTTCTATTATCAATTCAATCTTTCTATTATAGGTGTTCGGTTCAAATGAGTTTATTTATAATTAAATTGATCGATTTAATCTATGTATTAATAAAAAAATTATTAAATAAGACCTTTTTAATAGAGTTAATAGAATTATTTAATAGAATTTTCAATAAAAAAAATATTACGAGTTGGATTGGATTAAATTTTGATAGGGCGATCACGACATTGGAAAACAGTTCAACAGGTGGAGTCTTACGTGACCATGAGGGTAATTTTATCATGGGATTTAATAAGAAGTTAAAAATCTCATCAATAATCCAAATAAAACTCTGAAGCATTAAAACTAGCTTGGGAGGATGATTTCAAGTGCTTTCTTGTCTGATGATAGGGTTGATGTCCTGAAGTTGGTAACTTTCACTTCCCCTGCCAGCTCATTTTTCTTGGTTCATGGAATTGTTAATTTATTGGGCAGAGGATGGCTCGTTGATTTCAAGTTAATAGAATGTTAAGTGTGATGAAGGTGTGAATGTATGCGTGAGATAGTTAGCTTTGTTAGCAGTATGTTAGGATGTTGTTAGAAGTTGGTTGAGGCTATTAAAACTGCTGTGCAATTAGTTACAACCAGCTTAGTTGTGCAAACTTGTATATAACACCAGATGGTGTATTGCAAAGAATACAATACATTTCGTTAGTATATTGCATTCTTGAAATTCAACATGGTATCTTTCACTAAACGATCTGGGCGGTTTCTTTGTGTTTTCGCTGTTTGAAAAACAATCAACATGATGAATACTGACCGATTCACTTCTTCAATGGAGAATGTATCGAGGAATGCTAAGACATTCTCCAATAAGAAAGTCAATGTTATTCTTGATGAAGAAAATTTTTTGTTGTGGAAACAACAAGTGCAGCTCACTGTTCGTAGCCATAGACTAGAACAGCTTCTCACTGGTTCGATGACTGCTCCGTCACAACGGTGGTTAGTGATTCTGGTGAGTTTATATCGAACGAGTTGTATGAAGAGTTTGTCGCTTAGGATAACGCCCTTGCGTCCTGGTTGCTATCAACGATCAACCCGTAACTTCTACCTCAGTTTGTGGGTGCTGAAACGGCCTATGCGGTGTGGAGCACGATGCTTCAATTTTTCTCGAATAGATCTACAACTGCTGTCATTAGCCTGCACTACAAGCTCCAGTCTCTTAAGAAAGGAGATGAGTCAATGAGAGTATATCTTACCTGAGTTAAAGAAGTGTGTAATGCATTAGCATCTTGTGGCAGTGCATGTTGCGAGTATTCTAAAGGGGTTGCCTCGTGACTATCAACCTTTTGTGGCTGTCATAACCACTATGCGCGAGTCGGTGTCTCTTGATACTATTTACACCATGTTGTTGGATGCTGAGACTCAACTACCAGGGTTTTGTGATTTTCTTGAGTCACTTCCCATGAGTGATAATATTGTTCAAGGGCAAGTATCAGGTAAGAATGCAGATCAATCTGATCGTAATATTGTGTCTCGTCAGATGTACTCTTATGGTCGATCGGCTGGTTGAGGATGGGGTCAATCTCGGTTACAGTGTTAATTGTGTGGGAAGAATGACCATATAGTTGATCGACGTTGGCATCGATTTGATGAAGACTTTCCTGGAGTTACAGCCAATAGTAACTCTTATTCAAAGAATGAGTCTGGCACTGCTTATTATGCTGCTAATAACAGTAAGGATGTTGGGTATGATTGTGGTTCCAATCAAAAAACTGGTGCTCATCAGCTGACTCAACTTAAGCCACTGGCTGCTCGTGAACATTGGGTTATGGATTCGGGTGCCACACACCATATTACTTCTGATAGCATGAATATTTCTCAAACAATGGATTTAAACAATCCATGTAAATTAATAGTTGGTGATGATGTTCCATTAGATGTTAAATATGTTGGTAGATCCTCTCTATATACATCTTCTCGTGTATTGTTATTAACCAACTTATTGCATGTGCCAATAATAACCAAGAATCTACTCTCGGTGTCGAAGCTTGCTAGGGATAACAACGTTTTCTTTGAATTCCATGCGCAAGAGTGTTGTGTACGTGATAAAAGGACTGGTGCAATTTTGCTTCGAGGGAAGGAAGATGGTGGCTTGTACTCCTTTGCTGTTGATTCATCACTTGAAGATAGTTCTAAGGTAGAATGTTATACAACACAGTTGTCTACATCTGTGTATGGCTTGTGGCATCAGCGTTTGGGACATCCATCGCATGATAGCCTAGTAAAAGTTTGTAATGAACTAAATGTAATTCTTCCTTCAAGTATTAATAAAAAGTGTATTGCATGCCATATGGGAAAGAGCCATAAGTTACCATTTCATGCTTCTACAACTGTGTATGATACTCTTTTCCAGTTAGTATATACAGATCTTTGGGGACCTTCACATGTTGTCTCGAATGGTTACAAATACTATATAACCTTTGTTAATGTTTGCACCAGTCATTCGTGGTTGTATTTGCTCACAGACAAAGCTCAAGCAATTAGTGATTTTGAGATGTTTCAGCAAATGGTTAAGGTGCAGTTTAATTTGCCTATCAAGGCTGTTCAAAGTGATTGGGGAGGTGAATATCGCAGGTTATCGAGCTATTTGTTGAAAGTAGGCATCACACACAAGCTTACATGTCCACATAGCTCTGAGCAAAATGGAGTAGTTGAACGCAAGCATCGCCATGTTATAGAACTTGCCTTGGTTTTGCTTCCTCAAGCATCAATGCTTGTTAAGTTTTGGGGTT